GCCTCGATGTTGGCAAGTATGCATTTCAGCTAGTAGGTATTATATATTATGTGGTATATTTGGTGGCCGTAATATATGCGGTTTTGAATGTCTTGCTAACGTTTTGACCAAAAGTGTATATTATGATTATTGGAGAAGTCAAATAGCAAAATTCCGCATTATATTTGTAAATGTTCCGCATTTATAAATGTTTGTTGTAAAATTTCAATGATTTAACTACAGAACCACCTTCCTCAGCTGCTAAAGCGCCAGAGTGCAACATTTATAAATATAACGCTAATTCCAGTTGTTTGACTTCTCTAATAATCATTATTCTGCGTGTTATTTTAACCTAAATTAAAATGCATATTATGTTTTGTCGAATGTGCACATATTGAAACATAGAAGCTAAAACTATTTCTTTCCGGGCAATGATAATATATATTTTTAAATAGTCGAATTTGTTGACTAAATTTGAAAGAATCTTAAACTTTACCGAATGGCAAGACATTTCTTTTAGATCTAACTTCAACAACATATCTTCAACATACAGTTACATGTCTGATATTACGGATAAAAGATCCAGAAATGTTCGATTTGCCATTTTGGAACTCTTTGCTATTATGGCTACACCTACCGGATCTCTTGTGGGAGGCCAAGTTTACGATAAATATGGTTACTTGCCTGTGATGCTCCTAGTCCCATGTTCCCTCACTTTAACATTATTGTTGGTGAGATTGTATGTCTTGGATACGATACCGAAAAGATCTGACATCACAAAGAAAGAAATGTTTATGGATGTGCTTCGATATGATAACATGAAGAGTTTTAAAATCTGCATGGAGGACCTGGAAACTTGAGAATGCAGATATGGTTACTGTTATTTACTAGTTTTTCTCTTCGACTTATTCACATGGGATCAGTAGCTATTGGATTTTCTTACACACGGGAAGAGTATTTAAATGGAAAGTTACCCGTTATTCCTACACGACAGCAACGTTTAGTCTTCTGAATGCTGCGACTACATTAGCAATAGTACCTTTTTTTAAATCGTAAATTACTGGTACATGAAAGCAGCAGTAGGACTTGTAGGAGTACTCTCGCTTATGTCTAGAATGACTCTCATGTCAGTGGCAATAACTGAAGGCCTCATTTTTTTATGGTAATCCTGAATATCCTTCACTCCCAATACAAGGTATTCAAAGAGATCTACGAGAGCAAATGCCACATCAAATAAAACTACAATGAGTTAAAGCTCAAGCTGGCCTATTAGGGAATGACACAGCTGATAGTTTAGCTGAAGATGATGCCTCCGGACATGCTGACGTACAAATAAACTTACAGTGGCTCAAGAAGACATTACGAAGTCAGGCCTTAAGTCAATGGTAAAACGAATGGGAGAATAGCCTGAACGGCAGACGTATGTACTACCATTTCTCGTACGTCAACACAGAACGAAACATTTCTCCTCCATCTATAGTTCGTTACATTACCTGACATGGGCCTTTTTCTTAATATTATGCAAGGTACGACATTAGTAATACTGACATATGTAGCTGCGGGGAGGTCGGTACACCCGATCATTACGTCACAACTTGTCCTTTGACAGCAGAACTGCACATTCCTTTTCCCAGCACCAATCGGCAAGCCTTTTCCAAATACTTGATAAAGCCACGTCACTTAATTTGCACATTAGAGTGTTTCATTGACAAGCTCTCTTCCTTAAACTTGGATTTATGTCAACCATCATAGAACTTTATTCTGCATATAAGCTCCATAAGAATCGGCATATATGACTTCTGCACAGCTATTACCTAATATATATAATAACTTCATTACCTAATATATATAATATGTTATAATATTCTATAGTATACTCATATGTATTTACTTTATTGTATCATACAGTCTTACTACATCTTTTGTATTAATATTACTTATTAGGCATTTCATACAAATGTCTAAAATATTTTGCAACAAAATATCATCAATACATATGCAATTAAATTCAACATAGTATTTATATACTGCCTTGCATTGCTTCTATCCATCATTTATTCATTAATTAATGGATTTATAATGTGCATTTTAAACTATTCTAAACTGTATCATTTACATCTATTTTAGTCTATGAATTTAGACATCTATATATTTAAATTATTCTAAACTGTATCATGTCATATGTACATTTATTTTTAACTGGCATAATATTTTCAATGTAATTTACTGCAAACATATTAGTCTATATCTATGTATTCATCATTATTGTAATCTGCTATAAACTACTGTATTTTTATCATCCTATACCGCATTTTTATCATACTGTACTGTATTTTTATCAACCCATAACCTCTCTATAACTATATGTTTGACTTCTTTTCAGGAGTTTATCCTCTTGATGTATCATGTATTAAGTATAATCATATATCACTTATTAGAAGTCTTATGTAATAATATATATGACTTGGTATTTACATTGCATTATGTTAAATGTATCGTAATCTGTTATTTACACAAATGCAACAATTCCTTATTGCCAAGGTATACTACAACTGTTTAAAATGTATTATGTCATATGCACATCTATTTTTAACTGGCATAATATTTTCAATGTATTTTACCGCAAACATATTAGTCCATACCTTTGTATTCATCATTATTGTAATCTGCTGTAAACGACTGCATTTTTGTCATCCTATACTGGATTTTTATCGTACTGAACCGTATTTTATCATATTATAATCTCTCTATAGTTATATGTTTGACTTCTCCTTAAGAGTTTATCCTCGGGCTGTGTCAAGTGTTAAGTTTAATGATATATCACTAGTTAGAAGCCTTATGCAATAACACATATCATTTCTTAACTACATGTTAAATGTATCGTAACTTTTTATTTACACAAATGCAACAATTTTACTGCCAAAGTATACCACAATTGTTTGTAATCAATCATTCATTTTCAATTATGTACTCACGTATTTGAATTAGTGTTGTCCTAAGGGTTCTCTAGATCATGGTGGACAAACGTGGATCTCTAGATCATGGTTCTCTAAATCATGGTGGACGTGGTGCTATACTAATTAACCGTATGGTAGAGGCATAGTGACCACGTCCCCCGTTCCTTATCCTTATCCTTATCCTTATCCTTTAGATCTAACTTTTCTGATTAAGTTATGAAACATAAATTTCACATGTACAAATATTGAAACATAAAACTTTGCCCATAGGTAATAGATGTCTTTGCTAATTGGCAATACATATGATACTAGCCTATGAATTCAAATACGGAGATATCTTTCGTAATCCAAGATATCTATCTTTCTGGAAATTGTTCGAGACCCGATTGTTTGGGATCCATGACCCCTCTCTCTGTCTATATACTTAATGGCGAAATCGCTAAATGATTTTGGAATTTTTGATTGAAGTAATAAATCTCATACGTAGTTTGGATTCCTTTGGACTATTACGCATTATTTTATAAATTAATAGCGTTGTAGAGGCATTAGGTATATTTTTAGAAGCAGGAGAATTGGAAAATTAGCACTGCCTTTGCCGGGAATCGAACCGCGGACCTCTGGAATACCAGCCTAACGTGCAGAACCACTACACCACGAAGGCACGCTAGGAAGGCGGGAGAAATACCTTATTTACTCCCCTTTTAAAGAGCGACTGGGGTTTTTTAGTGGACCCAGTCGCAAAATCCTGGGTGTAGAGAATCATCATCCATTTTAGTTCGGGCGCCACTGTAGAGATATTAGATGTTTTTAGGAAAAGTCGGAGAATTGAAAAATTAGCAACGTCTTCGCCGGGAATTGAACCGCGGACCTCTGGAATACAGGCCCAGCGTGCAGAACCACTACACCCCGAAGGCACGCTAGGAAGGCGGAAGAAATATCTTATAGTGTAATCATAAAATAAACCTAATTTTAACTGGAATTTTAGAAATGCGATGAGTGCAATAGTAAATGCTTCGATATCACTGAAAGTACTTCGTAAAATCTAAAACTCGTTTACAATACGGTCACTAATGCAGGAATTTTCGGCTTTAAACTACTAATCATGAGTTCTGAAAATAAATTTTGTTTATTTTATTGGGTAATTTAATTATAGCAAAGCACAGTAATGTGATTGGTTAAGAGAAGGGAAGACGTTTTTAAAAAATTTGGCTGGTATTCATTTTACAAAGAGGGAAAATAAACCTGCAAATTTTATCAAAACAGCTGCTTGGAAGTCAGGCCCGGCTTCAGCGTTTTCCATGCCCCAAGCGATTAGTACATTTTATGCTCTGTATGTATTAAATATATTATCAGTTTAAGCCAAAATATGTTCTTTTTTTGTCATTGATGTAAACAACTTAACTGGCACTCTTCTAAAATCTGACATCATAGGTGGCTGCCTGTGTTATCTAAGCTCAAAGCCGGTCCTATCAAAGGAACTATCAGAGCTATTGAGGGATGCATAAGCTCTTTCATTGTAGAAAGGTTAATGCAATAAAGTTAAACTCAAATACAAACAGTGAATAAGTTATTGCGTTGTAGAAACGTTTTATATATAATTTATAGTTTCTATTCTGGCATTCTCCGTCACTGTTGGAGGCAGCAAGTTGTATAAAAACGTTTGAAAAATTGCCCACTCTTAGGTAATCGAGATGTTCATGTGTCGTGTACACTTGAATTGATAAATACGTATTTTAAAGTGAGCTTTATAATACACGGAAATGTATGAGATACGCTTACTGGGATGCACTTAGTGGGAGTCATCTAAGGAATAATGAACGTTAAATAAGGCAAGAATTTCGAACACCTTTGGTAGGTTAACTTACAAAGATAATAAAAGTATATAAAACCTGAAAGTGAAATTAAAATCATAGTAAGTACTGAGAATTTCTGCGATAAGAAATTTCATCAATAATTAATTCTGAATAAGATTAGGATAAGTTACAGAGAGTCATGAAATAATTTATTATGTATATTTAATAAATACTGGTAATTTCATTTGAAATGATAGATATTTTTTTTCAGGCTCAGTATGATGATCTCAGTGTTTTTCACTTTAATATTCTTTGCCTGGGTTCAAGCGCAGTGTCCTGAAGAGAACAATATTGCTCCTTGTAAATGTGTCACACCAAACGGAGAAGTGAATGTTTTATGTCGGGGAGAAATAGGTCTTCCTCGTCTGACAGAGATATTGATGAAGACTTTTTGCGGAGAGACTATAAAGAAATTTGAACTTATCCAATCGGATATTGACTACCTTCCAAGCAATCTATTCTATAAAGTTATTGTAAAAGATATTCAGGTAAAACACATTATGATTTAGTTACTTTTGAAATGTGAATGAATTTTGTTGTCAAAGTGAAAAGACAGTAAGTACTAAAAATATAAATGTAACGAGATCAGGTATCAGGATCTGGTAAATATGTTACGTAAATGTCTGTCGACCTGAAATTAGCAAATCAATAACATTGCGTTTTGTGTAGATTTTACTACCGGCTCTATCAATCTCGAGGGCAAGCAGGTGCAAGTCGCTCTTCATCAGAAGCAAAGAAATCTGAAAAAAAGGAAAACCAAGGATATATTTTTACCCAAAAGGAGTAAAACGATAGAGAAAGCAGTGCTATCTGTCATCAGAAATAGTAACTAAAATTGAAAAATGAAGTTAATAGAATTTTAAAACCTTCGGAAGGAATGGATTAGAATTAAAACCATTAAAGTAAACAAGATAAGTCTTTGTAAATGCAAAAAGCTTCAATAAACCCCGATTCACCAATGGAAGAAGCTTTTTCGAAAATGTTGCAGATCCAAAGTCAAACTATAATTAAATTTTCAACTTTGATTAGCTATCAAAGACTTGTTAATTCCGCTTTTTCGTACAAAAGATTTGCGTTCCTTGATGCGAAACTTGAACACTCTTTGACCGATATATCTCAAACCACACTGATAAGATATACTATAAATTCTCCAAGAATTAAGTCAGAAACAAAATCTATAAGAATCGGGCCATTCATTTTATTGATGACGAGATAATGACTTCCAAATTGCGCTTCTGGATAATCTTTGCAATTTTGTAACTGTTAGAAGGATGAAATGGGAGCACAAGATTATTAATGTTAATTTTAATAGAGAAATGTCTTCTTTGACGGCAAGAGGAAAAATTTTTTAAAGGCTTTATAAATGAGAAAATCCTCGGTCAATTGTAACTGATCGCAAATAAATAATTTCATTAGAAAGCAAAGATTTATCGTCAAACTAAAAGAGCATTAAAGTTTCGGATAAAGGAACGTGAATTTTATGGCGAATTAAAAGGCGAATTTAATAAGTCTTCGATAGCTAATCATAGTCGGAAATTTAATCACAGCTGGAGGTCTGCAAAAATTATCCAAAAAGCTTCGTGTAATGGTGAATTGGATTTTCTTGAAGCTTTTAACATTTACAATGGTTTACCTTGTTTCGTTATTGACTTTAATACCAATAAAGTCCTTCTTAAAGCTTTTAAAATTCTATTAACTTAATGTTTCAATTTTCATAATTATTTCTGCTGACAGATGGTACTACATTCTCGTTCGATTTTCTCCTTTCAAGAATAAATATAACTGTAGCTTTCCCATCTTTGCACATTTCTTTGCTCCTGATGAAGTGGAACGTATGCCTTTTTACCTCAAAATCGATAGAGTCTTGACGAAAATCTACGCCTAATCTTTGACAAATTTTATGTTTTACTTAGGCGTGTTTCTTCTCTATCTTGATATGTCAACTCTTGAATTTTATAACTTGTTTGACAATACAAAGTAATGAATGGCATATAAAAATCATTTCGTGAAGTTGCTTAACGATTAAAAGTTATAAAGTACGGAAATGTTTAATTTGAGTGCTATTAAAACAAGAATAATAGATTTAATAATATAAGGATGTGAGCTGCCTCAAGGTTAACGATTATTGTTACTAAAATAATAGTAATAAATTTCGGCCCAATATCATACCTTAGTTTTAATTTATTAGTAATTTCTGTTTGATTTCGATGTTAATTAAGTCACATTGTGAGATTGTAACTTTTGAGTTGGTAAATAAAGTTATTTTGTAGAGTTATAATTTTTGAACAGGTTAAGTCGTTTTGTAGATTTAAAATTTTTCAGTAGGCTAATTAAATTGTAGAATCATAAGATTTCTTCCGACGTTAGAAAACTGAAGAAATCCGCAATTCCGTCGCCGGGATTTGAACTCAGGGCCCCACAAGTACATGTCAGAACTGCTTACAAATACTAAAATTTTTGAGTATGTTTATAAGGTATTTCTCCCGCCTTCTTAGCATGCCTTTGTAGTGTAGTGGTCAGTACCCTCGGTACGTATTCGAGAGGTCTGTGTTTCGGGTCCCGGCAAGGGCATTGCTTATTTTTCCTATCTCCTGCTTCGAAATAAATTAATGTCTCTACAGTGGCACCCGAACTAAAAAAGTGGTGGATGGTGATTCCCCACCACTAGGATTTGGCGATTGGGTCCCCTAATTCCCGGTGTCTTCATTTAAAAGGAGGAGTATATAAGGTATTTCTTTTACCTTCTTAGCATGCCTTTGTGGTGCAGTGGTCAGCACTCCCGGCGCGTATTCGAGAGGTCCGTTGTTCGAGTCCCGGTGAGGGCATTGCTCATTTTTCATCTCTCCTGCTTCGGAATAACCTAATGTCTCTACATGTAATTAAGTCACTTTGAAAATTTATAATTTTTGAGTAGGTTAATTAAATCCTTTTATAGATTTAAAACTTTTTAGTACGCTAAATAAGTCATTTTGCAGAGTGATAAATTTTGAGTATGTTAATTAAGGCATTTTTTTGAGCTGTAATCTTTGAGTAGATACTATTTCCTGTATAATTTTATCTGGTTATAAACTTGATTATTTTCTTGTGTGTCTTTCTATTATTTTCTTGCGTGTCTTTATGAAACTTGTTTATTTTCTTGTGTGTCTTTCAAAAAGATCTGCAGTCTCCTTGTAATTCTTATTTAATAAAAGCGATATAACTAAAGGCAGAATGTATGGTGCTTGCAGCAAAGAAATAATTATACGATGACTAGAAGAGAAACACGCTAATGTGACAATCAAAAGTAGGCGGCCAGTGCAACTCTGATTAAAAATCTAGTTATAACCACGTGCAGTGCTGATAAGCACCACGTGTTTCTGGGATTCCTATTTTCTTCTTTCTATGTATTTCTTTCTCCTGATGAGGAGGGACCTTTAGCTGCTCTCGAAATCGATTGAGTGTTTCATTATACCTACGCTAAATATAAGGTTGTTTTTTACGATTTTGAATTATACGATGATTGGAGAAAGAAATTATTTATGTTCTCTTATACCAAGATAACGCTCATAATTCTTCCTTTAGTGTAATTTAATACTCCCTTTTTAGAACAATGATAGATTAGAAAATTGTAATTTTATCTAAGGTGTTTGTGGAAGGTTATCTTCAAGAATTGATTTTATTTTTGACATCTTATCAATAATGATACTTCTCATAAGACTTTTGAGAAGCCGATTACGTAAGAATTTTTTTCTACCTAAAAAAGATCAAATTGTGATACCTTAAAAATATTTCACATGTGAAAAATATTGTAATATTTAACGTGAAATGCTACTAGAATGATAGGAAAAATTATAATTATTATAAAAAAGGTAATATTTTATTAAAAGACATAATTATTAGTTAAAGGTGCACGTGATTGAAGTTTTGATTTTAGTAAACAAACATTTACGAAAATAAGTCTAAATTATCAATTAATTTAACAATGGACTGTAAAATTTAGTCCATTGTTAAATGGACTTGAATAAATGACATCATTGTTATTGCATCTAATTAACAGATCAGAGTCTTTGTTGGTTTTTATTGCAATTTCTGGTGCAAAATCTTACGTCGTTATTTGCGACAAACCGATGGTTTAAAACTATGGTTGAACATTTAAAAGTATTTTAAAATACTGCACAAGTGAAGTTACAATATAGTTTAGGCCGGATAAAAATGAGAATAAAAACAGATTAGAATTTCTGATGAAAGCTAAAATCTTTTAAAACCTAGAACACTTTATGATGGGGTTGTTTTCCTATTAAGTTTTCTAAATCTAATTAGAAACAATTAAAATGTTTTAGGTGAAAATATTTAAAACAAAGACATTCCAATAAATTATAATGAATTATCAGAACTGCATTTTAGTTTACACGAAGTGGATTCCTCTCGCTTTTCAGAAGATGCTTATGAGTCAGGCGGCAGAGACCGATTCTCAAACGAGTTAAAAGTATTTCTTCCCTTCTACAGTCTGTCTATTATAAGAAAAGCTCTCGCCAGTTAGTCTGCAGCTGCCTGTTGCCGTAGAAACGAGCCTTGACCCATTTTCCGTAGGGGTGTCTTAAAGACGAATGATAAAGTCTTCCCCCCCAGCCAGCAGTAACCAAAAACAAAATAACAATAAAGCAACCCTTGGTTCGCCCCTATTTGAAATTTACTAACCCTGTTGCTATAGTGTTCTCCAGCCACCAGACACTATGGCGGGACTGTTCCTCTCGTAGACACAGTATTTAGCATAGACGGCCAAAACTCAGTCGTGAGTTTAACACTTCCTAACTTATTCTTTGCTTGATCCTCCCAGCGCATCTACCATTTATTGATAACGTTAAGTTTGATTAACGCCCTGATACCTGCCGGTGGGACCTGAAGGCTGGTCATAGTAGCAGCCTTACCTGTGATATCCAATAGATTATTCTCCTTCACGTTAGCATGGCTAGGGGGTCCAGGAGTACAGAATCTGATACTCTAGATATTTTAAAACCTGATAAAGCTGCAGAATTCTGGTAATAATGGGATGTGAACTATAAGTAGGATCTTTCAATGACTTTAAGGCCCTCAAAGACTCTATGTACATAATGAAATTCTTGCAACGTTGTTTCAAGAAGAAAATCAAAACTTGACAAACCGCAGCAAGTTCAGAAGTGAAAACCGAGAAAGCTGGTGTAACCGAAACACAACAGTTGTTTTTTCCACTACAGAAGCTTCTTCAAATGAAAAATCTTGAAGTGCGATCGGCTCTCCAAGAGGTATTTGACCAAGATGCTCAAAAACTTCATACTTCTTTACATAACTTCATACTAAAAACTTCATACTATAAAGTAAGCTTGTCTTCTAAAAAGGAATTTTATCTCCTTTTCTACAGGAATCAGTACGTCTTGAGGATAAAATTCGAGATCAGGATGAGGAATCATTTTGAGAGAAAAATGCACGCATACAGTCATTTGAGTAGAAACCTGAAGCCATTATCTCGCGACCATTTGACTATTCTATGCAGAGATGTTTGTAACTCTCTCTTGAAGCATTTCATGTCTGCCCTTGGGTCAACTTTTAAAGCATTCCAGAAACTTTTGGAAGAGGCTATTTTAAGATAGATTTAATTTACGATAGGTGTTCATGTAAATATTTCATAGTTTAAAGTTCATTTAAACATTCCATACTTTATTTTATATTCATACTTAATGTTTAATACTTTAAAATTTGTGATCGTATCTTTGTAATGCGTTTTGATATAAGCCTATGTTTTAGGTATCTTTCACAAATATCAGTCATTTCACTCGTGCTGGCATTTCTGCGTTTTTTGGCCAAGAAAGGTACTTGGAGTCGCTTTCTATGAGAAGGTGCCATCTTGTAAATGGATTGCAGTGGCAAATGATTGGAGACTTACAAGTGTTGACGTACTTAGATTTGTCTTTCAATGATTTGTCAAGAATACCAGAACAATGGTTCAAGCATCCACCTCCAAACCTGAGGTCCCTTACACTCAAAGGGAACAAGTGAGTATCATTCTTCTCATTACTTTAGTAGTAATAGTGTCTTTTCGTCTTTTTACGTTAGTAGTAATTGCTTGATGTCATGTAAACAATGACAGTAAATAATCTGGGAAGTTTGAAATAACAACTATGAAGTTAAATTTTCTTAATGAGATTATTTATAAAATGTTTAAAGCATATTGTAGTTCAGTGCAGAGTCAAGCACGTTACTTGTTTATTCAGTCTACTGAGCAAAAGGGAAGTAACTCAGTAAATGTACAAAAAGTAATCTGAGATTGTCACTGATTTGAGATTTTAGTATTTATTCGCATCCATTAAGAATTTTAAAGCTTCTCAAAGATAATACCTTAGAGAAGTGCAAAATAAATGCCCAATAAATAATTAAAAACACTAAATACAGATTTTTGATTATAAAAATGGTCTTCGATGGATTTACATTAATGAAGGATGTGGGGACCTCTGCTAGAAATATTCTACCAATATCATGGTTTAATGACAAGAATTGGCCTTTTAAGAAGGTTCAGTACATATTGTATGTTATTCCAGCCTAGTTATCTAGATGGCCATTCTATACGAAGCAATGTTTGTAAGTATTGGGCAATATAGATACCTCTGGTATACAACAGTTTTATTGTCCTTTTTTAAGACTCTTTTACCGAAAAAAACATTCGTTTTAATGTCCTTTTTTACTGTACACGTAGAGGCAACATGCACTTATATACAGTTCACAGTTCGAGAAGATGTATAAGCACGGCAGTGTCTACTCGAACTGTGAACTGTATATAAATGCATGTTGCCTCTACGTGTAGTGGCATGTACAGATAGTATTATTTGAGCCATAGCACTCATGTGTATTATGTTTCTCAACGTGTATAAGAAGCTTCAGTATCATGTTTTAATATTGTGATGTCTTTGCATATATGTGTTATATCCATGGATACTGTACTTACGTATTAGCGCCTCTGTATACTGCATATGTGTCTTTGTGTATTGCACCTAAGGGTATAAGTGTATAAGCGCACCACTATCTGTTTGAATTGGTGTAAAGCGACATCTTTGTGAACTCCTGTGACACGTCTCACACATGCTTGAGTGCTCCTAGAAGCCTCAGAACTGCGGTAAAAGATTGCAGAATAATAGCACTCGTATGTTACCACGAGTAATAACTAATATACGTGGTGTTTACGTGTACATTTTTGGTACATTTTTTGTACAAGCATACGTGCATAAGCGTATTACACTATACTGTATCATTGTGTGTGTGACAGTGTCTTCATTTATATGCTAGAGTTAATCAGTTTATCTTAGTTAGTAAGTCTATGTGTTAGTGTCTTTACTGTATCAGTATTTATGTGTTAGAGTCTTCGCGTACTGGAGTATTGTATCAATGTGTATGTCACTTTGCTATAGTGAGCTTTACATTAATGTAACAGGAATGTCAGATACCAAATGTATATGTCAGAAATCTAAACTAATTTGTTTCCTCATGCTGCTGTATGGCCATGTAAAATATATTTGCTGGTTTCAATGGACTTCCGATACTATAAATGTGAAGCACCGGGAGGCTTCAGCTGTAGATAGTTGCAGGGTCCGGACAGCACCCGAATAGTCATTGTAAGCCGTCCGGGTGTCCGGCCCCGCTGTCACCTGTCCTTTTTAAAAATGGCATCAAGTGGTGAGAAATGGGTAAACACTGAGTAAGGATGTGATACTTATAGTGCACTGTAGTCACCGTTTCAGCTTGGGAAGAATAGGAGATCAATCAGACCATCAAGAGCAATATCTGCCCAAACTCAAGTTAAGCTGGTACATTTTTGGTACTTTTTTGAACAAAACGTTTCTTTATTGAAAATCAATTTTTATCAAGTACATATTGACTATTATTATCTATGATCTTTTGCCATTTTTCGGGTAGCTTTATAATTTCATAGGTGTAGAACTTCTGTGGATTATCGTCGAAAAACTTGGCAAGTGATTTTGAGCGGCAATTTGGTCGGCCAGTTTTTTACCATCAAGAGAGTTTTGCAGAGACCAAAACAAATGGTAGTCAGACGGTGCAAGGTCCGGGCTATATAATGGATGCATCAAAACTTCCCAATCAAGTTGTTCCCCAGTCATCGAAAATGTGTGTGGCCGCGCATTGTTATGATGGAACGCAACTCACTTTCTGTTGGACAATTCTAGTCGCTCTTTCTGGATTGCTTTGTTCAAACGGTCGAATTGTGTACAGTACATGGTGATTTGATTATTTCGTCAGTATTCGAATAGAGCAAGCTGCATCTTTGGCATCGAAACTTACGGAACGGAAACTACTCCTGAGTCCTCTATTCGCTCACAGCAATCTCACCGTAAACTTCACAAATTTTTCGGCGTGATTTTGCAGCATTTTTACCTTTTTTTAAAGTAAACAAGCATCACATAGCTTATTTCTTCAAATATTTCACTCATTTTCAAATCAATATAAAATCAATATAAATTTATAATTCGTCGCTCGCCTTTTACATGAGCGGCGAATTAAAAAATTATCTTCACAAACAATGGAAGTTGAATGCCATATTTTAAGCACATGTTCGTTTGAGACAATCAGGTGAGTGTTCTCGTATATATAGGCATCAACACCATCTAGTGACAAAAACCGCGAAGACTTTTTATATGACCCAATAATTTTAGTTATTTCAAAATAGAAAATTATCTAGTATAATTTCATGTAGTTATAATTTCCTTGCATTTCATTTCCTGATAAATATCTTGTGACGCAGGAAGAAGATTTTAAGCATTCAAGTGATTTCAAGAATAAATTTTTATTTTAGATTAGTGTTAACAAAGAGTATTATTTTTCCTCTTCACGTAAAGGTCTTACTATTTCAAGTTACAAGGGTTTCTGAAGGCTTCTCACGTTTTCTTGGAATGCTTTTCACTGTTTTTTAAGAACGCAGTGCTCAGTTCAAAACGTTCGTCTCTTAGTTTGTAGTTCTTTGTCAAAATTTAAAAGAAAGATGATCTCATGAGTATTTTAACAAAAGTTCTATTTCGATGCTGGCAAAGATCCACTTCCTGTGAAAAACGGGCACTCAAATAATGGAAAGCGATTCCTAAAAGATGTAATTCCAGTGAATTCTTAATTTTATTGCATAAGCGTTTGGCATTTATAATTGACATTTTTTGCACGATTTGAAATAACGTTTACTAGGTTGTTTATAACTTATTACTTGTATTATTAAATATTGAAGAATATGTATTATCTATGATCTTCACATTGTAAAAAATCGGCGCAACTACCGAATTTTGAACACCTATTCTTCTTCAACCGAACCTGCGCATCTCAAAGCCCGAAATTTGAATTTCGAAACTGATTTTAATTTGTTTCATATTTCATACGAATTTAATGAAATCTTGATAGCATTCATAAAATGATCAATATTTATGTTTTCATTTTTATTTCTTTGTAAGAAATAAAGGCAGTATTGCAACCGCACACAATTTCGAGAATCATATTGTAACAAAATTATACTTTTTCATCGTTCTACGAGTAGAACCCCATTTGGGCGATATTTTGCTTGACGTCTTTACTTACAGACAGAATAAAGTGCTCTTTTTTTCAAAACTGATTGACTTAAAATAAAGGGATTCTAAAGGAATTTTTTGTCGACAGCCGTACGTATGAATGTATCTCACATAACTCAAAAACGATTTGCGCAGAAAGTTGAAATTTTGTATATGGAACTGCTATAATATCTACGTCCCTTGTCTATTGTAAATGACAGTACCAAAAGTACACACACACACATATACATATATAAATAGAGAGAGACAAAAAGTAAGTAATTTAGAACCTGGTCAAGTTTTCCATACGGGAGACAAACATCTTGAATTTTTATTTTTTTTGTAACGAGTATTAAACTTTTCCAAGTATAAGTATAGGAATCACAAGACCGCATTAAAAGTTAGATTTTGTTATTTCTCCAATATATTTCTTTTTTAATTTCACATTTCTAAAACATGAATATTTTAGGCATTTAAATTTAATTTAATTTAAATTTAATTAGTATATAACTACTACCAACAATTGCGAAAATAAAGGACAGATAAAGAATTTTAAACTGGATAATTAGGTGAGTGCACCACTTCAGCGAACTTGATATATATATAGTATCACAATATATATATATAGCCTCCAGTTTCACTGTACCAGCACTGTACTTCTGACTTTTAGTTTTTGCATATGGTTTATTGCGAAGTGAATATGGGATTAATTATAAACTTATTATTTATTTTAATGTTTCATTATTAACACTTCTTGTTTCTCTTTCAGAGCGGGAATGGATTAACTTTTCAACTGCTTTTCACTTTGCATTTATTTAATATATATATTTTAAAAAATGAAATATATATATATATATATATATGAATTTTATATGACTGCGTTCCGTTTTAGAATACGAGCTCTGGAGTCTGGAGCGTTTCTACTACATGCACAAGCTTCTCCAATTGGATGTATCAGAAAATCAAATCACTAGCATAGTGAGAGAGGCTTTTCCTTGGCCTGGAAACAATCTCCTTTACCTGACACTCAGGTATTTTTAACCATTTTATAATTTATCCGCATAACGTTTTATATATTTATTTTATATATTTATCAAAAAAAGAAAGCATAAAGTGAAAACATGTTTTCATTTCAATATCTCAAGGCAGAACGTAAAATATTTTAACAATATACCTAATAAGAAATTTTCCTTTTATTCGATCTTATGGAGACATTTTTTACCTACATTTTAGCTACCATAAAAATATCACTTAATAAGTTTCAGTTTCCAAATAACCATTATAGTTTTCGGTTAGTAACCTTTCGGTTGGACTCAAAATAAGGATTGAAACTGTTAGTTTCAATCCTTATTTTGTAATGCGTACAAAATATTGTATGCATTGGTCAAAACATATGTTAAGGAAACATTTCTAATGGAAAATCTCTGAATTTGATCTTCTCGTTTGTACGTATAAGTTAAATTGACATTTCTTAACTAAAATAACACGCAAAAGAAAAATGTTAAGCCTGCTACAGCAACAAGAATCAGTGTAAGATGTACCTGCATAAATTTCCAGCTTCAAAACTGGTCGAATTTCCAGGAACAGTTTTGAAGCTCAATAAAACATCCTTCAGCTGCAGGAATGAAAATGACGAAGATGAAGCACGTGTTAATGCGATAAAAACAGAAAAGAATTCGAGAATATGCCATGTAAGGATCAGAAACAAAGCCACTGGTGCCATTTATTGACAAAAAGTGAAAACAAATATGAGGTAATTTTCTTAACAGTTGGGAAGGCGCAGTAGAACTGGGATCAGTAATGAGAATTGAGACATCTTTATTAATGGAAATCGCCTCTAAGTAATTTAATTCTCCAACTGATGATGTTTTTTTGAATAAATGTAGCTGCAACGAAATTGGGATTTAACCAGCAATTTTGGGTAACAGAGGGTTAAAGGCTTCATCTTCCCTAACATATGTCCCATATTCCTTAATGCAAAATTTCAAGATTCTTTCAGTTTACCAATGTGTATACTAGCGTGGAATACTGTGTATACTCCAGATGTTTATTTATGAATAGGCGTTTTAACTTTGGAACTGCGAATTTGTTTGGTAGAATAAAAAACTATGCAAAGACAGAATGCGATATACTTCTGTAAAATACGAGCAATTTTATAGCTAATCAATGAAAAGAAAGTACTGAGTTCTTATAATCGCCTTACAAATAGAGGAATGCTCTTTTCTATGTCGAAAGGGAATTTATTATAAATTGCATTGCCAATAATATGTGTGAAAATCTCTATTAATTGCAGCTGATCAACAGTTGAGTTCTAGATCAAGAGAAAGCTTGGAGGAGCAAATTTGGAGACGTAACACGGAAGAATAAAATGAAGCTAGCTTCTGTTTAGTAGAATGATAGAATTTGAAGTGTGATGAAATGCAAGCAGATAAAAGTTTACGATAGACAGTAGTATTAATTTTTAAATATGCTTCTCAATTCCAAAATACTAGTTTCGATTTCATAAGAAGCAAGGAATTACTGGGTTACATCTTGCCAAGTTTCTCTATGGGGGCGGTTTCCAGTCTGTGCTACGCAGAATCTTTAAGGCTTCGAGTGCAGTTTTCAAGAGAAAATACACTAAATAAAAACAGAATGGAACTAAGGCATTAGGCAAAAGGGAAGGGCATTATCCGCAGAAACCTTAAAAAGACATATTTTAATCACTCGCTTGCTACGCCATACGAGCCTCAATCCCAACGAGCAGACTTTTAATTATAAGAATTCTTCTCTCTTAAGCCTTAAGGGTTTAACCGGGACACTAGGCTCTCCTTTTCATCCAATACCGAATAAGTCATATTGTTTCACCTCGGGTCTCAGTGACCAGTCTAGGAGAGGCAAACTATAGACACTGTGTTAACCTGGAGATTTGGCTGGTCGTTAAAGTGTCTCCACCACTACTACACGGACTGCCCTTCACCTAGGCCATTTATTATCCATGATACTCCGACCAGCCGAGCTACTCGGCTCTAGAACTTACGTCAGTTCCCCTCGGTCCGACTGTAAAGACGATCTTCCGTCGGGATCAAGAACGGCCAGGTTTTGTTTTGTTTGTTTTTGTTCCTCCAGAGCGCTACTGTCATTGTAAAATAGTAAGTCAGCGTATACACACCCAGGGAGAAAGGATGCTACCTAACAGCGTAAAAAACATTGTTCATGTGCAAGCAATATGTTTCCAATATGACATTCGAAAGCTGGTTGCATGGAAAAATGCCAAACGCCAGGAAAGAAACTAGAATGTTATTTCCCTACGTTTCTTCTACTTCTGAAAGAACGACAGTATTGGATAAGATTTTATGCGTTTACTCACTTTTGAAACATGTCATTAAGAATGAATTTTTTTATCTTCCAAGACTTACACTACTGTACACTGACGACGATTTGGCCCACTTAAGATGTTGATTTGTTTGATTTGCCTTTGTAAGGTGTAAAATGGTAGTCTACAAAGCAACTCTCTATTTCTCCTTTTTAATTCCAGTTTTCAATATGAGAAGTTATTTTAGACAAATCCGTATGATATACAGTTTATAGTTCATAATAAGTTGATATTCGGATTTCTTTTAGAAGCAAGGATCTTGCCAAAGAAAAAGAAACTATAAATATTAAAATCATTACATATTTTTTTATAACAAGTATTAACATTTAACTAGTATTTAACAAGCATTAACACATAACAAGTATTTTATAACAAGCATACATCTTTCACAAAATAATCACTTTGCAGTACTTCAGCACAATGACACAGACTTCTTGCAGAGACTTTCTAAATGATTAACGTTGTCTAGGGATTTAAACAGATTCAATGAGTTGTTCTTTTTTTTCGTCTACATGAAGGCAAAAGCTTTAAATATGAAAGAGGAGAGATTCCTTAGCACTTTGTGCTTTAGTAGTCTCCTAGCAGCAGTTACGAAGTTGAAGGTTAAAAAAAAAAAAAAAAAAAAAAAAAAAAACCGTAAAACAGAAACAATCGATTTGCTTTTCTAAAAAATTCATCGCAATGCTTTTGGAGTTAGTAAAAGATATCTGCAGAATAATTCCTCGCTAGTTAAACTAACATTACTTACAAAACACTTGTATTATATTCTGTTTTACTGTCGCTTAAAACAATTAGTTATATAAGAGGTCTTAAATTACGCAGTGTTATTTTTTTAATTGGAATTTCATGAATGGATTGTAAATTTGAAATGTATATTCGAGAATTAACTTTATAGATCTTGGAACATCAAAGAACAGTTAATAAATTTACACTTTAGTTTGCTTCGTTTGATTTAGCTGATTATGGCAGAGCATATTAGCCTATCTGCCTGAAGGCATGCTTTCGCGAAGGAACTGAGGGAAACTAGCTCATATACACATTACTCATGGGGGAAAACACGGAAACGCTCATGCAGCTAGCTCTTTCACATGAACCCGAACCCAGGTCGAAACTACCACTGTTCTGCAATTTTACCGCTCGGCCGCTTATGGCCACTTGAATCTTCTTTTTAGAAATGATGCAAATATAAGATCTGATCTCCGAAACGCATTCCGCTCTGAAGTTTAGGTATGAAATCGTAAATGTTTAATTTAATAAAATGGAAAGAAAAAAATGTACAGATTTGGAAGGGAAAAAAATAGTTCGCAAACTATACTCTTGCATTTCATATTATTGCAAATTTCTGTAAGTATTTAAATTTATTTGATTGGATTGTTATAATATAATGGGAATGGTTTTACTTATTTATTTATCTGTTTCGTTTTATGATGATACTTTTAAGGTTTACTTTTTATTCAAACATTTTTGTGACCGTATATTTTGTTTAAAATAACTCCCTATTTCCAATACAAAACCGTAGATCTTTAGATTAAGACTCCGAGAACGTTTGAATTGTAAAAATACCTCAAGTAGAGCACGTGATATGTGCAAATAGGCTTTTCGCGAAACTTTGCGACAATTTTTGTAGCCAAGTTGGCAATATTTGCTGATTTTACAAGTGGGTTTTATTTTGATTTAGTTTTTGATTTAAAATTTGGGAAAACACATTTTTGAACCTCCGAACGATTTATTGTGAAAAGCTTCCAAACATCCGTGTATACAATATCTGAGCTGATGGCTATGCCACATAAATGCGGAGCTAGACGAATTAGACATATTAGTACGTTTTACGGGTTCCTAGATTTCGAGTAAGTAATTGATGATAATACGTGATGAAGAATCAAAAAACAATTTATTCTCCAGTATTACACAGGAGAGTTCCAAAGACACATTTACAGACATAGAAAAACTATGATAAACACGCTGAAACAATCAACAGCACCAGCCTTTAAGCTATAAAGATTAAGACAGCTTCACGACAAAGCACTAAAGTACAACTCTCAACTCTGTCCATCGTTCTGAAGCTAATCTATGAACTCAAGACATTACTACATTGTTGAATTCAAAATACTCTTCAGTCTGCGTATATAGGCAGGGTGTATCTAGCTTTAACCTACCTTTGAGAACATTTCCGAGGAAAACGCTAAGAATGCCTTCTAGAAAGTTCTCGCTCCGTCTATGTCATATCGCCAAAATTGTTGCCAAGTGGGTGATTTTGCGCCAAATCTGGAAACCTTAACACCGATTCGCAGAAAAGCTATCTCACCGCAGCTGGGCATTTCGTAACAATTACGCACGCAATTTCATTAGAAAAGCAAGCAGCGTTAGTATCACATAGATGTGTAGTAAGTACAGAATATTATTTTGCAGTATTTAAGTTTCATTCCCTACATTTAGCGAATTGGTTTCATTTCTCTTTTGTATATAACTTGCCACAATGCATATATGTGAACCTTTGTAGCGCTTCAAACGCATGTAAGTGGATTCAGATGCTTATGCACATGACTGCAGCTGTTATTGATTTCATAGCTATATTACTGTAATACGTTGTATGTATTGTTACGAAATGCCCTGCTGCGGTGAGATAGCTTCCCCGCAAAGAAGGTTTAGGGTTGCCAGAAAATAGCTAGGGTT